CTCAGCTCTTCAGCTCAAAGCTAGCACTCTTACCACTTGAGCCACAGTGCCACTTCGGGCTTTTTCTGTTTATGTGGTGCTGAGGAATCAAACCCAGGGCCTCATGCACGCGAGGCAAGCACTCTGAGCCACCTTCCCAGCCCTAAAATTATTATTTTTTATTGGCTGGGCATGGGCTTGAACTCAGAACTTGAACTCAGGGTGCTGTCTGAGTTCTTTTGCTTAAGGGTAGCACTCTACCACTTTGAGCCGCAGTTCCACTTCTGGTTTTCTGGTGGTTAATTAGAGATAAAGAGTCTTATGGACTTTCCTGCCCAGGCTGGCTTTGAGCAGCAATCTTCAGATCTCAGCCTCCTGAGTAGCAAGGATTACAGGTGTGAGTCACCTGCACCCAGCAAATATTTAAAATTATATAAGTGACTTTGATTTCTGTGGAACAGAGATAGTCTATGTGGTGTGTGTGTGTGTGTGTGTGTGTGTGTGTGTAGAATCATGCTTCAACTAAGTTCTTCAAGGGTAAGAGCTGTCATATTCTTCTTTACACATACCCTGAGTCCCACAGCAGGATCCCAGATGTTCATAAACTTTTGTTTAGGGGATGTCCAGGGATCTTCTTACTGTGGTATGATGTAGGACAAATGGAACTGGTCATTTGAGACCGCCCCGCCTCTGGGATGCGCGTACCCTATAGTGGGGGTTAGATCTGGAGACTCTCACTGTGGAGCAGTGGGGACCTGAAGGATAGACCTCCACAGACTTCTGTGGTCAAGCTGAGTTTCTTCATCAAACAGCTTTACAGGTACTCTGTGTCCCCAGACTCTGGAGCTGTCTGACAGTTCTGCTAATCATTCACCATCCTTGGCTTTCCTTTGGGCTACTGTGGGCAGAGTCTGGTTTATGATGGGCGATTGCTATCTTCAAAGTCCTAAATTGGGATGCTCATGTGTTAATAAACAACATGTATCCTTGCTGGTTGGCCAAGATGGGGGCCTGGTCACCCAGGTGGGGGCTTCAGCCACTTTCAATCTCCTGCTGCTATTGGGTCTGTGCTGCTTTCTCCTTCCTCCTCTGACCATGGGTGATATACAGCTGGGGAAATAAGTGTGTAACAGGAGTAATCTCTGATAGCTGTACCACATGTGGACCACAGCCCTGGAGGACTCAAAGCAATACTAAGAGTGGACATACACAGCTTTGAGGGCTCAGGACATGGCCCACCTGGCCTGGCCCTCTGATTCTTAGAAGAGTTATGGCTCCTCTATGTCTCCCAGAGCATTAACCTCAAAACGGTTACTGTCAGGTCCTTCTTTGGATTGACTCCTTCTGAGCACTCCACCTCCAGTGATTTCCAAGGAGTTTGATTATTCACCAGAAGGCAGAAATAGAAAGATAAATTTACTCACTTCTGTGTAACGAATTTACACGTGGGACTCTTTCGTCCTTCAACTTCTGGAGAGGCTCTCTCCAGTCCCAAATTTACATGTGTGACAAATTTGTCCATGCCTCCTCATTTTCACATTAGGAAATTAAGTCTACCACATTTATAATTTTGGGAAAGGGTATGCCATTTAGCAAATCAGGAGAGAACTGGAACTATAAAATTCAAATTCTGATTTCCAATAAATATGTTTTCTACTTTCTCATATCCTTTGTAAACCTGTGTCAGGTAGTGGCCATTGCCAGGGATTGGATCACAGGTGTTCTGTTTTTGTTTTTTTTTTTTTTAATGTTCCTTTGGCTTCGGTAGTTTCCCTGATTTGTTATCAGTGACTATACACTAAAAACACCTAAATTTAAATATGCAAAGTAGAGTCTTTTAGAAAGCAAAATGGAGTATTCTTTTTTCCAAATTGTATTTGAGCACAATTCCTGAACTTTAGCCAATTTCTCAGTAGCCAAAAGCAATATGAATTTTGGAGTTCTTAAGGACAAAGGGAGATGTTTAACTCTCTTGGCAATAAACTAACGAGAAAAAGTTCTAGCGGGCTCTGGTGGCTCATGCCTGTAATCCTAGCTACTCAGGAAGCTGAGATCTGAGGATCGAAGTTCAAAGTCAACCCGGGCAGGAAAGTCCATGAAACTCTTATCTCCAATAAACCACCAGAAAACCGGAAGTGGTGCTGTGGCTCAAGTGGTAGAGTGCTCGCCTTGAGCTGAAGCGCTGAGGAACAGTGTTCAGCCCCAGAGTTCAAGCTCCACAACTGACGAGAGAGAGAGAGAGAGAGAGAGAGAGAGAGTTCTGACTTTTGATGGTTTCCCCTACAAATTTCCAGCTTTATGATGGTACCCAAACAATCATATTCCATAGCATGGCTAGGAACACACCATATGATTCTCTTCCAACTGGGTGGGGCCACAGCTGAAAGTCAGGAAATCCTAAGAGCAGGCAAAGATTGCCTGTAGGGTATTTTGTGGCTTGCTCTAGTGTTCTGTAGGTTTGGTGTATTAAAAGCATTTACATTCATGTGACCTGGGTGCTGGTGTCTCTTGCCTGTAATCCTAGCTACTCAGGGCTGAGATCTGAGGATCCTGGTTGGTTGGAAGGCAGTTTAGGCAGAAAAGTCTGTGAGAGTCTTACCTCCAATAAACTACTCAAGAGCCAGAAATAAAGCTGTGGCTCAAGTAAGTGGTAGGGTATCAACCTTGAGCAGTTGAGCTAAAGGAGAATGCAAGGCCCAGTACTGGAAAGCAAGCAAGGAAGGAAGGAAGGAAGGAAGGAAGGAAGGAAGGAAGGAAGGAAGAAGGAAGGAAGGAAGGAAGGAAGGAAGGAAGGAAGGAAGGAAGGAAGGAAGGAAGGAAGGAAGAAGGAAGGAAGGAAGGGAGGGGAGAAAAAAGAAAAAGACCAATATCATCTCACTAAGATTACTACTCTCAGTGGTATCTACATTTAACCTAATTTCTTGCATTAAGGATGGATCATAGAAACAGAGGAATACGGAAAAAGTAACATGGAATATGGATTTCTTATAAAAATTAGGCTTTTGCATATGGGATCTGATGGGAGTCTATGAAAGCCTGCTACCTCCCAGCTATGGGGTAGTCCTGGAGCTATTTCAGGTCAACAGTTCAGTGGGAAGGAGGAAATTATGTCATGAAACTGTGAACCGTGAAGAGCAAGGACAAACTGAAACCTACCAAGACAAACTAGGACCCATGACGATCTCTCTCTCTCTCCACTCACCCTCTCTCTCTCTCTCTTTCTCCCCCTCTCTCCTTCTCTCTCCCTCCCTTTCTCCCTCTCTTTCCCTCTCTCTTTTATTTTTTTGTCAGCCATTGGGCTTGAACTCTGGGCCTGGGCACTGTCCTTGTGCTCTTCAGCTTAAGGTGAGTGCTCTACCACTTGAGCCACAGTGCCACTTCTGGTGCTGAGGAATCGAACCCAGGGCCTCATGCATGCAAGGCAAGCACTCTACCATCCAGCCACCTTCCCAGCCCAGATCTCAGCCTCTTGAGTAGCTAGGATTACAGGTGTGAGCCACCAGTGCCTGGCTACCACATGTCTACCACCTGTCTCTTACCACCATATACTTCAATGATGGGAAAACTTCAAAAATATCTGATCATCTTCATAATAAGAAAAACTGGGGGATGCTAGAGGCTGATGGCTGTGCACATCTGGATGCAAGCTGGCTGATCACTAATAGAAATTAAGAGCTAAGTACCTTCAGAAGGTACTTAAGATTGCTCTTCACTTCTACCTTTAGACTCTCATAAAAATTTCACTTGTCAAGACACTATGTTAAAAATAACTTTACAACTTTGGGAGGGGGGATGAGATGGGGAGGTGAAGAGGAAAGGGATGGTAAGGGAAAAGCAAAGGAGTGGGTAACAATGCTTGATAGGAAATGGACTCATTACCTTACTCATGTAACTGTAACCCCTCTGTACAGTATCTTTTCGATATCATATATATGTTATATTATATATATGTATGTATATATATTATATATATGTATATATATTATATATATACATATATATAATATATATATATATAATTTCATTGTGGCTGGGTGTCGGTGGCTCACGCCTGTAATCCCAGATACTCAGGAAGCTGACATCTGGGAATTGTGGTTCGAAGCCAGCCTGGGCAGAAAAGTCTATGAGATTCTAATCTCCAATAAACTACTCAGAAAAAGCCAGAAGTGGTGCTATGGCTCAAGTGATAGAGCACTAGCCTTGAGCATAAAGAAACTCAAGGAAATGCCCAGGAACTGAGTTCAAGACCAACTGAAAAAAAAATCATTTGTGGCCAACCTTAGCTTGTAGCAACATAGAGAAGGGATTTGTGAGAAACATGGTTCAAGCTTAGTACTGCCAATACCCTGCAAACTTACCACAACCCTTAAATCAATTTCAAAAGATGACTTTGAAGATTCATCTAGAAGCCAGGAAAGATGGCAAAGTGATAGTGTTGGTTATTGGAGGAATTTGGGAGGTGGAAAGGAGATAAAAGACCCTTTCGTGGTCCTAATCAAGATGTGTCTAACACAAAATAGAAAAGTCAGATCGATGCTAAGTATGCATTAGATAGTCCTATGTCCAAATGTGTGTAGATCAGAAGACATTTGACTTCACAGTTAGACCAGCATTTTGCCTGAGAAGTTCTAAGGATACTCAGGAATCTGTATGAGTACTCAGCTTTTCTTTGGATATCATAATGACCCCCAACTCCAACTCCATTTCCTTCTCTTCCTTCTCTGAGTAAGTACTGCAAAGGACAGGGAAGGTCTGTGGGAGACAGGACAAGGATGACTAGCATGTTTTGGGGGCTGTAGAGAGGAAGCCTTGGAAAAGAGTGTGCATTTCCCAATGCTGGGGAATGGAATAGAACAATGAAGCCATCTTCTGCAAATGAGTAGGTTTGTCTCAAGAAATGTTTCCTCTCTGTGGGGGAGCAGTGGGTGGGGAGAGATGATAAAATTAGATGGGAGGTGATTCTTTCCAAAGCCCACTTGTAGCTATGACTGAGTTTTGTGCTTCTCTACTTCAATAGATCAATGGCAACCTTTATTGGTCGGGTGTACCCTGGCCTGTTTCTGGCCTTATATGGACTGTATCAGGCAACAGTGGTTTCTAAAGTCATGATATTCAGTGGCTTCCTCCTGTACCCTTCAGGCCTTCCATATATAAGGAAAGATGGGCCAGGCTATGGGAAATCTCCCCTGGATGAACAGCCACCAATGTTTCTATACTCTTAAACAATGGTAGCACTGCCAGGCACCTGTGACTCACATCTGTAATCCTAGCTACTCAGGAGACTGAGATCTGAGGAACGTGATCTGAAGTCAGCCTGGGCAAGAAAGTCCCTGAGACTCTTATCTCCAATAAACTACTCAGAAAAAAAGCCAGAAGTGTGCTATGGCTCAAGTGGTAGAAAACTAGCATTGAGCACAAAGAAGCTCAGGGACAGAGCCAGAGTTTAAGGACCAGAAACAAACAAACAAACAAACAAACGCAACAACAATAACAATGGCAACAGTTCTCCATGTTCACGCTCCTCACTCTCATTGGCTTTGTAGATGTCATCAGCAAGAATGTACTGCCCCAGAAGCGTGTGGTCCTAGGATGCTACTTCCTCCTGCTGCAGCTGCTGGCATCCCTCATTCAGGTGTAAGTTCCGCTCCTGGTTGGCGAGCAGACTCCGCTCTCCTCGCAGCAAAGTCTTTGCCCAGTACCTGAGTTACCTAGGCAACTGGCACACTTGGAAGAGGTCACATCTGCATCAACTAAGGTCACATCTGGATTGGATGTAGCCACTCCTTTCCCCGCCCCTACCCTAGATAAGGCCTAGCCCAGGCCCAGACGCTCTTTTTCCCCAGGTCTCTTTCCCAGCCAACATGGCCTGGTGCCAGCCAGAGCGATGAATAAACCTACCCATTACTTGAATACCACGTTTGTGGTGTGGTTCTTACTCAGCAACCTCTCTTTAAAAAACCTAACACAGGGCTGGGATGGTGGCTCAGTGGTAGAGCACTTGCCTTGCATGCATGAGGCCCTGGGATCGATTCCTCAGCACCACATAAGCAGGAAAAAAGAGCCAGAAGTGGGGCTGTGGCTCATGTGGTAGAGCGCTAGCCTTGAGCTGAAGAGCTGAGGGACAGCGCCCAGGCCCAGAGTTCAGGCCCCACAACCGGACCCAAAAACTAAATAAATAAATAATAAAAACCTAACACAGGGCTCATCAGGGACGGAGCTACAAGTTCATTCTCTGCTCATCTTGGTGCTGCTGCTGCTGCTGCTGGTGTTGACGGCAGAGATGTGGCTCCTGATGTGATTCACCTCTGGATGGTTGAGACCTCTCTGTGTCTGATGATGGGCTTCTGCCTGATGTGAGTGAGCTTCATTTTATTCAGACCAGTCTCTGGTTACCTATTGGAGGAGAGTGACATTGACCCCATCTTGTTTGTTACCACCGTCTTCTGCTGGCCTGTGATAACAAATGCTTCATGCCTGTTGGGAATCTGTGCGCAGCTGCATCCTCCTCCTCCTCCTCCTCCACTTCCTCCTCCTCCTCCTCCTCCTCCTGTGCTAATTGTGGGGCTTGAACTCTGTCCCTGGGTGCTGTCCCTAAGCTCTTCATCTTAAGGCGAGGGTTCTATCACTTGAGCCACAACACCACTTCTGGTTTTTCTGGTGGTTTATTGGAGATAAGAGTCTCAGGGACTTTCCTGTCTGGGTTGGCTTTGAAGGACCCTCAGATCTCAGCCTCCTGAGTAGCTAGGATTACAGGCATGAGCCATGGGCACCTGGCCGCCTTCTCTTCTTTTTGGCATCATCATTACAGTCCCAGTTTGAAGATGACAGGGTCCAAAGAAGCGCCATATCATAAGAGTACTCCAGAACTCTTCTGTAGGCTAATGCAGGAAGTAGTGCAGCCAGAGAGAAGACCCAGCTTCCCTTCTCTCCTTTCCAAAAGCTCACCCTGAGAGCTGGGCGCTGGTGGCTCACACCTGTAACCCTAGCTACTTAGGAGGCTGAGATCTGAGGAAGCCAACCCAAGCTGGAAAGTCCAGAAGACTCTTGTCTCTAATTAACTACCAGAAAACTAGAAGTGGCGCTGTGGCTCAAAGTAGTAGAGCACTAGCATTGAACTGAAAAGCTCAGAGAAAGTGCCCAGGCCCTGAGTTCAAGCCCTACAACTGACAAAAACAAACAACAATAACAACCACACACACACACACACACACACACACACACCCCAAAAGAGCTTACCCTGAGACAGAGCCTACTCCACCCATCATCCTATGAAATTTTTCTCAGCTGCTTGTTTTGCACCTTTGTTGTTCCTCAGAGAAGATAATGACCCAAGATCTACTGGTGTGCTTCCCCTCCCAGCAAAGGAGGTGAGAACGAGGCCGGAAAAGAGAACCAGAGAGTAGAGGGCCAGGAGAACAGATTAGTGTTCAAACAATGCTGAGGAGGAAGAGGAGGCAACAGAATGGCAGGAAGTCTGAGAAAGTCTAGCAGTCACAAGGTTATGGCTCTTTCTCCAGCCAGCAGAGAGTGCCTTTACTTGAGAGAATAAATTCTCATAGCTCAAAATAGGACTCGTGTCAGGACCAGTGGCTCATGCCTGTAACCCTAGCTACTCAGGAGGCTGAGATCTGAGGATCGAGGTTCAAAGCCAGCCCGGGCAGGAAAGTCCCTGAGACTCTTATCTCCAATAAACCATCAGAAAACCAGAAGTGGTGCTGTGGCTCAAGTGGTAGAGTCTTCACCTTGAGCTGAAGAGCTGTGGGAAAGAGTCCAGGCCCAGAATTCAACCCCTACAACCAACAACAAAAACAAATAGGACTCATTCAAATCTCATCCTGATCTTAGGGATACTCTTTATCAAAATGGTGCTGCCACATGGAGGTGGTGTAACAGTATATAATCAATCTATTTACCCTCCCTTTCCCATTCCCAACTTTTAAGGTGTGGCTTTCTTTCACATTTTACATATAGTGACCTGAAGAAAATAATGAGTTTTGCTATGTACTGATGGCTCATGCCTACAATTCTAGCTACCCAGAGGCTGAAATCTGAGGACTATGTTCAAAGCTAGCCTGGGCAGAAAAGTCAGTGAGACCCTTGTCTCCCATTAACCACCAAAGAGATGTCAGTGGAGTAGTGGCTTAAGAGGCGGAGTGCTACCTCTGAGCAGAAAAAATCCAAGTGAGAGCATGAGGCTGAGTTCATGCTCTAGTAATAGCGTCCATGTGTGCATGTGCACGTGAACACGTACACACACACAGTTTATATAATTCAAGTTTCTATAGGATTTAAACTTGGTTTCCCCTCCAACTTTACATTTATTTCTTTCACTGTAGCTAAAGCTCTTTACTTCACCATTACGAAATAACGGTTATACTTGTAACTTATTAAATTCTGTCCTTGGAGTTTTGCAAATTTCCTCCCTTGCACTTCATAGAAAGCCAACTGACAATCCCATTTCCACCCAGAATGAAACTCACCTCCACCCTACCCCAAGGCGGCCTTCTCCAAGAACTCCAAATGACAGCTTTGCTCTACAGCTCTCTGGCACTTATACTAAATCTACCTTGTTATTGTTGTTTTTCTTCTGTACAGCCATTTCACTTGGCTTTGTTCTGTGTTAGAAATCATTTTCCTTGGGGAAGTTCTTCCTCACCAATGAATGTGTAGGTGCCTAAAGGGTAAAGACTTTGTCATAATCATGCTACGTAATTTCTTATGTACATTCCAACTATGTGGCACAAATGAAGCTTACTAAAACCGTATTCCCCCTACTCTTAAATGTGCTGCAGAGCAGGCTGGGAGGTCTGAGGAGCTCTGGACGTTGCCAACAACGATTCTAAATCTTGTCATCTATCTCCTTAGTAATGACCCCAGCTCTTCCTCATTCTTGGGGTAGGAGGGGTAGTAAAACCCTTCAACCCAATTCCAAATTGTTTGCTCTGTGTTGGTCTTTTTAGTAGTCAAATTCATTTCTGTAAGACTGAGGCTCCAGAAGATCCTTGGCTTGAGGCGAGAGAAGGCAGTATTTTGTGTAGGTGAGTCTGACTCAAGCCTGTTTCTGTGCCATAGTGACTTTCTTTTTGTTGGTCTTGGGGCTTCAACTCTGGGCCTGGGCGCTGTCCCTCAGCTCTTCAGCTCAAGGCTAGCGCTCTACCACTTGAGCCACAGCTCCACTTCTGGCTTTTTCTTATGCGGTACTGAGGAATCAAACCAAGGACTTACACGTAGGAGGCAAACACTCTACCACTGAGCCACCTTCCCAGCCCCCCATAGTGACTTCTTAATGGCAGTGGAGAAGGACGTGAGTCTTAAATGAAGTGAGAGAGGAGGGGAAGAAGGGAAAGAGCTTTTGTATTATTATGTATTCGATGTAACAGAAAGGCATTCTCCAGGAAGGCCCACTCACATTCTGGGGGGAAACGTTTGTGATTTCACAAAGCTCCACCAGGGGGCACCATGCTCCCATGACTTGTCCAAACCTCTACTCAATCCTGGTAAACAAGTCTCCAGAAAACCGTTTAAAAAGGTGGGGGGGAGGAGATAGAAGGGCAAGAAAAGTACAGAAACAGGCTAAATATTGCCCAAGCATCCAGAAAACATACCCTAGGGCTGTTTGTTTCCTGTTAAAATTTGGCAGAAGAATATGGAATAAACAGAGGTTCAAACCAACTAGTGGGGTTAGGGGTGAGGGAGGAAAAAAAACAAACTTGAATGCGGCTGAGGTTTGGGGGAAAGTACACATTCTAATCTAGATAAATTTGGGTATTTTTTTTTATTTTTTAGAATCAGAGTGTTAAATTTTTCTAGGCTTTTAAACTTCAATAGTGTTCCAATCAATCTAGAGAACAAAAGCTATGAAAATCCCAGAGAATCTGGGATTAGGGATAGATTACAATATGTCAAAAAGGGGGGCGGGGCTGGGAATGTGGCTTGGTGGTGGTAGAGTGCTTGCCTATCATGCATGAAGCCCGGATTCCTCAGTGCCACAGAAACAAAAAAGGCTGGGAGTGGCACTGTGGCTCAAGTAGTAGTACCTTACACAAAAAAAGCTCAGGGATAGTGCCCAGAACTGGCAGAAAAAAGAAAGAAAAAGACTCCTTCACTTTGGAAATGTTTGTTGCTGCTGTCTTTTGGTGCAGAGGATTGAGCCCAGGTACCGGAACATGCTAACAGGTACCTACATTCTCAGCTCCTCCAAAGATATCTTCAAAGAAAAGGCTATACAACTTTGATTTTCTGATAAGCTAGTTATTTACAAAGAAGTCAATGGGTAAGCCACGTTGTAGAATTTCCCGTCTGGTCCCTGAACTCTGAACCACTTTTCTCAGTGGGAATGGCAGGAATTTAAATATTTTGGAAACGGTAGCCAGATCTCATCCTCCAGAGAAGCTAGGATTATAGGCCGACGACACTAGGCTTGGCCTATTCTTTTGAATGAAATTGATATTGGTTTATTTAAAAACAAACAAACAGCCTGGTGCTGGTGGCTCACGCCTGTAATCCTAGCTACTCAGGAAATTGAGATCTGAGGACTGCAGTTCAAAGCCAGTCCAGGCAGATAAAGAGACTCTTATCTCCAATTGATCACAGAAAACCTGGAAGTTGTGCGGTAGCTCAAGTGGTAGAGTGCTAGCCTTGAGCCAAAGGACCTTAGAAACAACACCTATGCCCAGAGTTCAAAGCCCAGGACTGGCACAAAACAACAATAACAACAACGCACTCATAACCTGAAGCAGCAACCCCTCTGTACATCACCTTTATAATAATAGTAAATTCGTAACCAAAAAACCCACATTGTCCTCATCAATTGACAGGGTGAGCTGAAACCTCTTTGTACAACTACTTAAACATAAGAAAACAAATAAATAGCACGTTATGGTTGAAGGTGGATGGTTCAAGGACTCAAGAATGAGTCTTTTGGAAAGAGAGAGAGAAAAAGAAGATATGTGGAAAACTCACAGAGAAAGCCAACCAAGGTGAGGCCTTCATTCATGGACATGAAGGCAATGTGATAAGTCCTGGGCTAGTTGCAGATTGAGAACAAACCCTTTCCCTGTCTTCTTGCCCTCCCACTCCACCCACCCCTAGGACAGAGCAACTCCACTCAAAGAGAAAGAACCCTGAGTTCAAAGGACATGCCAGCAAGTCCCCTACGCATATGTACCAAGACTACAAAGGCTCTGAATGCTCTTTTTCTGGAGGAGTTAGACCATGAGGCCATAGACAATTTAGAGATGAGGGGGATGAATAACAAAGGGGAGCAGACACAGCAAAGTACAAGTGGACAAAACAGTCAGTTCTACTTTTAACTTCTCTAAAAGTACAGCCTGATTTTCTGGGGGTGAACCAATTAAAGGACTTTCTTCTGCTTTTTTTTTTTTTTTTTTTTTTTGGTCTAGGGCACACTCTTTAACTTCTCTGGTCATTCCTTGCAGTTGTCTGGATTCTAATTTGGTTACTTTAACTAAGTATGGATTTGGTCAAGGTGGCAAAGTCTCTTGTTGACTCGTAGAAGAGTCAGTGGTCACATCTCTCTATCCCTAACAGAACAGAAAGGATCAAAGTATTTCCCTTCTTGGAAACACAGCTCAAAGCACACGTTCTCTTGATGATGCCGCTGTCATTTCTGTGCGGTCAATAAATGTTTACTGAACACTCACCCTGGACACAACGGGGGGGGACACAGGATGAAAAACCTGCTAGGGAGGCGAACATATCTAGGAAAAACAATATGGCCAGGAATCTTGCAATCACAAGGCAAAAATGATATAAATTTTGAACACTGCATTTGTTATTACATGTTCTGTTAGGTTTGACATTCCCTCCACCAGCGCTGATGTCCATGAGTACAAGAGAAAGCTTTTGGTTGATCCTGGAGTGTTTCACATCTGGAACTCAATCAATGTTATTTAAAACAAGAAAATCACCATTGACTTCTCTGCCCCCTTCACTAGCCATCTAAACTGAAGACTTATCAGAAACAGAGTGACACAATAAGGACTTTGTTACTGAACCTATGTTAGCTTTCATTAAAGTTACAATGGGGGTGCTATGCTGTCAGAAAGTTCTAAGGAAGGAGTGACCAAGGGGAAATTAATGATTCAATCTGTTCAGATAATCCTAGCCTATCAAATGATAATCATCACTGTTTTCAAAGCACTTACTCTGTTCTAGATCTTATCCTAATTTCTGCTGCATAAACTACCAAATCAATCCCTGTAATCTATAATACCATTATTCCTAGTAGGCAAGGAAACAGAGGTCTTGTTTGGCTAACTGACTTGTCTACAGGAAGAGAAAGAGCCTGAAGTTGAACTTATATTTCATAATGCTTTTCAACATGTGTGCTCCCCTGAAATCTAAAATGGAAATTTCAAGGTGCCTTTCCCAGTCCAGAGCACACCAAAAGCCTGTTTGGAGATGAATGCGGCGTGGCATTTGGAAGTGTTAACCACACTTTAGGGGAAGGGCTGTTGACCAAAGAAGCCAAGTTGTGTGTGTGTGTGTGGTCACAGACAACATTTCTTTTTCATATTTGTGGTGCAGAACATAACCAGAAGAACAAACTTCTTCCTTTCCCCTTCCAAGGGCACTGGAAACATGGTTTCTTGGTCTTTTTAACAGAAAATCTCACTCTCAAACATTCGAGTTGCTGAAAGACATTAAAAAATAAGTAAAATTTAAAAAAAGCCAAACACCCTCAGGCGGATTTCAGGTGCTAAAAGTGGAATGCTTAAGAAACTGCTGGGATAGCCAAACACGAAATTCGAGCATGATCTCAAGGGTTTATTTCAAGGTAGCGTTCCCATGTACCTTCGTGGGTGCACCATCACTGCCAGGCTGAGTCGGGGGGAGAGTTACTAACTCTCACTTTTCCAGTCATAATGAAGTACTTGGGAAGCACACTCAGGGAGCATTCCTCAAGGGTCCCTAAACTTTGTGTTGAACTCTGGAGTTCCAAAGGCACACGCTGCTTCTCCCTTCAGCTGCACTAGGGCCCTGTGCACAGAGCAATGTCAAATCTGGTCCTTTGAACGGCTTCCTTTTGCTGATGAGGAAACTTTGGGCTTAAGAGCTCTGCCCGGTGGAATTATAGTCATGCAGGAATTCGATTAAATAGGTAACTTCCCAGGGTACTGTGGAAGTCCTGGGGAGGTGGGGCGTTTCCAGGCCTCCCCCCTCCCCGGGAACCACATCCCCCTCCAGCCTTTCCTAGGGCTCCCCTGAGTTCCTGCACCCCGCAATCCCCATCACGCTGAAGAAGAGCGAGTGGCAAATTGTGTGTCTCAAACAAAGGGCAAAAGTCAGTCCTGCGGTGCTGGATTTACACAGAGAGCTCTCCCCGCACAGCTGCGCACAGCAAAGGCAGCAGGGGCAAAGATGCCCGCGTGGCTGCGGGGGGTTGTGTGGGGGGCTGGTGGGGGGCTCCGTGGGGCTCCCTGGCGGTGACTTCCTCCCCCCGGCCTGGCCTCGTCCCCGTGCGCGCAGCCGGCTCCAACCACCATTCCGTCCCCTCCTCCCGCTCCGCTTCCCCCCCGCCCCGCCCCCCTTTCTCTTTCTTTCTTCCCAGACTCGCTCTCTCGGAAGGGCGGAGTCCTCAAGGCTCCTCGCCCAATGGCCGCGGAACCCCGGGACGTATCAGCTAATGAGCTCGGGCTCCGGGCAGCAACGAGCCAATCAGAGTGCCGAGGACGGCCCGGGACCTTGGATAAAAAGGTGCGGCAGCCGGCAGCCCGCAGAGCCGAGAATGAGACCCGCGCCCGGCCTGTGAGCGGCACCGCCACCTCCTCTCCGCCATCCGCCTCGCTATCGCGGCCTGTCCGCCCACCATCCCACCATCCCGCCAGCTCGCCGCCCGGGTAAGCGCCAGGCCCGACCAGGGGTGCCCGGCGGATGGGCGCCAACCCCGGATCGTGGTGCCCCCCCCCCCCGGGTGCTGCTTTCGTTCTGTCCCCGACCTCCCGTCTCCGGGCCTCGAGGCCCGGCCCGCGGGCTTCGGATCTCGGGTTCTGCCCGGTTGGCGAAGGCAGGGCGGTCCCGGGGCCGAGCTCAGGGGAAGGGCAGCGGTGGGGAGGGCGGGTTGTTTTGATCTTTCTCGGCTACTTTTGCGGCCCGAGGCACCGCCCCCGGAAACGGGTGCCCTGGGGTGGCCCGGGCGCCGTGTGCACCCGGTGGCCGTGTGGTCCCCGGCCCGAGCGCACGCCGAGCGCTGGGTCCCCCCCTCCCCCCCGGGCGGGGCGGTTTAGCCGGGAGTTGGGGGCGACCAGGGGGTCCCGGGGGCCCTGCCACGGGGGGGTCCCGGAGCGCCGCCCGTGTGACGGAACAATGGAGGGGAGCTGGGGCCGCGGCGCGGCCCGCGGGCGGCGCAGTGGAGAGACCTGGCCAGGCAGAGGTCGCAGCGGCGCGCGGACTCTCCCGCGGACCCCCCCGCTTTCCCCGCCGGCCTCCGCCTTCCCGGGCATGGCCCTGTGGAGGAGACCCTGAAGTCACCGCCGGCCCCAGGGGCGAGCGACAACTTTTAGGACCTGTCCGTGGGAAGGGGTTGTTCTCAAAGTGGATTATCCTAGCTCCCCCGGGGCCGGGAGGCGGGGAACCTCCCCCAGCCACAGAGCCGGGCGGAGATGTGAAGATGAAGACCTGGGGTCGCGATCATCAGAGTCTCCCAACTACCTCGGCTTCCTCACCTACTCTATGAACCCAGGAGAGAAATCGTGGGTTGGGTGTAAAGGCTTTGGGCCTGGCGTGTCTCGGCAGGAACGCTCCGGGTCCCCCACCCCATCATCACCCTCGCCCAAACAACGAAGGCGAGAGGTCGAGAGCGACGATCACGGCTGTAAAAAGAGAAGGGCTAGAGACAGTAACCCCAATACCTTAAACCAACTGTCGCTGGGGTGAGTGAGCTGTCAGGGAGACAGGACCCGGGCTCTGGCAGCCGCGTTGCACCCCACGTGAACTTGGCGCCCGGGGGGGCCCCTTGTGGATCGAGAATTAGGCTGCTGGCATCCAGCTGGAGGTGTTGAAAGTGACTTGGACGTGGGAGGTGTAACAGGTTGGAAGAGAGAGGCTGACCCGGCTTGTAGTCTAGAGAGCACCCCAAAAGGTTCAGGGATTTTGACACTAGGTCTCTAGAATGCTGTAGGTACAGGCAGGGGTTGGTTCTCTAACAACTGCTCCCCAGGGGAAGGGTGAGGCTGTTGGAGGAGAAGCAGTTGTTTTCAGCTGGGCAAACATGGACGGTTGCCCATAGAAACTTTGCCACTGTACTTCAGAAAGTTGCCCAAGTCATTGGAGGAGAACAATATGTTCCCTTTACAGCCACCCTGGGCGAAGGAGGGGGGGGGGGGGGCGGGGTGCGTTTCCTCTTGTGTTGAGTGAGGCTGGTTTTGTGGCCTCAGTCTCTTCTTCCAGAGGTTTTGTGGCTGTGGCTTTTATAGCATGACTCCAAGCTTTCGAAATCCAGGATTTTTTTTTTAATTATTAAAAGTGGGAATTACCTACTTGAGAAACTTTTCTAACTGCCATGTCCAGAGATGGGTTATTTTCACCCTAAGTCTGTCTTTGGAAGTGAGAACTTTACATCATACCGTCTTGAAGTCTGACTTGTGTGGGCTGTTTTTGTCATCTTGGTGATAGTAATACTGCAGGACTTTTCTTTCAGGTAGCCTCCAGTCTTTGTTAAATCTTTTAGTTAACTCCCTATTTTAATTCTCAAATGGAAATGCTTGGGGTGGGGGGGGGAGGAAGGAGTCTCCATTAAGATCAGCTAGGGTCCAAGGGCTAAGGGAGAAAGACTCAGAACAGAAACCACAGCCATGTCTTCATTTGTTCCCTCATACTAGTGTTTTTGTTGGGGGCGGGGCGGGGGGGGGGGGGTGGTCAGTCGTGTTGCTTGAACTCTAGGTCTGGGTACTGACCCTCAGCTCAAGGCTATAGCGCTCTACCACTTGAGCCACAGCACCACTTCCGGTTTACTGGAGATAAGAGTCTCACAGACTTTCCTGCCCAAGCTAGCTTTGAACCCCGATCCTCAGATCTCAGCCTCCTGAGTAGTTAGGATTATAGGCACCTGTCTCCTACTGGTTTATAATTTAAAAAAAATATCCTTTGTGTAACACAAAACTAGAGGGACTGAGTAGATCTTTATTTACTAAAAAACTCTAAATCCCCTGAAAATAGAGGGAATAATTGCACCTTTGGATATATCCAGGGTCTCTTAGTTGCTCTACCATTTGGGCCATACCACCAGTCCATTTAGATAAGGTCTCAGTAACTGCTCCAGGCTATCTTTGCATTCTATTTAACCTCCTGGGTCCCCTCCCTGAGTATCTGGGATTGCTAGAGTGCTTCTCCATTCCCCACCCTCTCTTCCTCCAGGATTAGGACATTCCTGCAGAGATTATTTGGAGTGGGTGTTGATAGTTACTTTTCTCTTTCTAGAGCATCTTCCACCATGGCCACCTCAGCAAGTTCTCATTTGAACAAAGGCATTAAGCAGTCGTACATGTCCCTGCCTCAGGGCGAAAAAATCCAAGCCATGTATATCTGGATTGATGGTACTGGAGAAGGGCTGCGCTGCAAGACTCGAACCCTGGACTGTGAGCCCAAGTGTGTAGAAGGTGAGATTGGGCGAAGCGATTGGGAAGAATGGGGGTGGGGGAGGGGTATCAAGTAGCCTCAGGTGGTCAGCAGCCTTAGACCAACAGGGCCACAGGATTTGACCTTTGTTCTGTTTGCAAAGCTTTTCTAAGGCAGGGCTTTTCTGACTTCAGTCAACACTAAGCTCTTGCTCAGCCTCAGAGTAGAGTAACAATGGAACCTTTGATTTAAAGAAGAGACTTGTTCATATGCCAAATATATTAAAGAAGAACATTGAATCTGGATAGTGGAGTGTTTGGAAGTAGAGTCCTTGCTGACTTGCTCATCCCCACTTAGCTACCTCTAAGATATCCCCAGGAGCCCAGTTTGAAACCTGACTGCTATCTACTAATTTTTTATTTTATTCTTTTTGTTGGTCGTGGGTCTTGAACTCTCGGCCTGGGCACTGTCCCTGAGCTCTTCAGCTCAAGGCTAGCACTCTAACTTGAGCCACAGCACCACTTCCAGTTTTCTGGTAATTAATTAGAGATCAGAGTTTCACGCATGTTCCTGCCCAGGCTGGCTTTGAATTGCGGATCTTCAGATCTCAGCCTCCTGAGTAGCTAGGATTACAGGAGTGAGCCACCAGTGTCCAGCTATTTTTTTAATTTTATTTTAGCAGTACTGGGGCTTAACCTCAAAAGTTCATTTGCTAGGCAAGTGGTTTTCCATTTAAGCCATGTTCTTAGTTAAGACTTTTTAGAAATTTTTTTTGATTGATAATGTTCATTTTAATAATCTAAACAAATTAGCAAGGGGCCTATCCATGGGCTTTTAGAAATTTTCAAATCCTCTGGTCTCATACTTCCAGAACTATTATATTGGCATCAAGTCCTTTAATTTTCAGTCTAGAATGAGCCATAGGCATCCCCCTTTTTGGGGAGGGGCAAGGAGGAAGACGGTCACCTCTTACCAACTTTAGAAGAGCTTGCCCTTTCTACAGTGTTCATATTTGAATAAGTGATGTAGAGCATATATCTTGTGTGCTTATGTGGCAGATTGGACTATGAGTATACATAGTAGGAGTCTGGCCTCTGAGAACTCATAGTCCACAGGAGAAACAAAGAAACTGCCCCTCAAAACAGTGGGGAAAGTGAATAAGTGGTATGGATGCATCTGTTATATTATCTAAAAGGACATAGCTTTGAACTAAAACAGTAAACAGGCATAGAGGACAGCGAGTGAGAGAAGGAAGCAATGATTTGGCTTAGTGAGAGAAGCAGAATCCTTCTCCCTCCCAGTGAAGTTATTTTAAGAGGTCACCAATGTCTGCCCTTAGGTGTTTCTTACAAGGAAGTGATACAATGGTCTTATTTGGAACTCCAGGAGAGCTGTAAGGTGTATAGGTTTATATAATGCTGGGGCCTTCACGCCCTTCTGAGAAAGACAACAGATCTTCAGAAATAGAAAGGATCTGGCCGCTTCCTCTGTAATCCTAGGTACTCGGGAGACTGAAATCTGAGGATCGCAGTTTGAAGTCAGCCCTGGTAGAAAAGTCCTTGCAAAAAGCCAGAAATAGAGCTGTGGCTCAACAAGTGATAGAGTACCAGTCTTGAGCAGCAAGCAAGTCAAGCAAGAGCCTAAGGCCCTGAGTTCAAACCCCAGTACTAGCTCACACACAAAAAATAAGTAAATAGAAAGGGAGATAAGGGCTTGCTTGGCTGTATTCCTGCCTTGAAAGTTTCTGTATGTTTTTAATTTTTTTCCTTCTTTTTCTCCAGAGTTACCTGAGTGGAACTTTGATGGTTCCAGTACTTACCAGTCTGAAGGCTCCAACAGTGACATGTATCTTCTCCCTGCTGCCATGTTTCGGGACCCCTTTCGCAAGGACCCCAACAAGCTGGTGTTGTGTGAAGTATTCAAGTATAATCGGAAGCCTGCAGGTATGCACAGGATTGGGAAACCACCACTTCCTTTTGTCCCTACCAGTTCATGCCTTCTGTGGAAGGAAGAAAACAAAACAACATTCTGAAGTTAGTATTGGGAAGCTTAGATTATCTCAGCACTAATTTTAATTTTATGAATGTCAGGGATTGGTTGTCCATCTCTGTACCCTGAACTTCTTGTAAAGAGACGATGGGGCCTGTCCTTCCATGGACCCTTTTTACTGGTTGCATAAAATGGTATTGAATTCTTCTGTCTTTACTAATTAGAGTTCTTAGTGACACAGGCCTGCATAAGTTTAAGAACCTGTAATCCTAGCTACTCAGGAGGCTGAGATCTGAGGATCATTGTTCAAAGCCAGCCCAGGCAGGAAAGTCTGTGAGATTTTTTTTTTTCTGTGAGATTCTTATCTCCAATCACCAGAAAACCGGAAGTGGTGCTGTGACTCAGGTACTAGAATGCTAGCCTTGAGCTGAGGAGCTGAGCAACAGTGGCAAGGCCAGAGTTAAAGCCCCATGGCCAACCAAAAAAAAAGGAACCTATATCCTGGAGTCAGGAAAATTATGTCCTTGATCTACCTCTTACTGCCAATGAACCTGAGCGATTAATTTATTCCCTATAATTCATTTTGCTGAGCTTTTTTGGAGGGGGGGGGGGAATCTGGTCATGGGGCCTGAACTTTGGGCCTGGGCGCTGTCCCTTAGCTCTTTAGCTCAAGGCTAGTGCTCTACCACTTGAGCCACAGCACCACTTCTGGCTTTTTTTCTGTTTGCTTATGTGGTGCTGAGGAATCGAACCCAGGGCCTCATGCATGCAAGACAAGTGCTCTACCACTGAGCCACCTTCCCAGCCCCATTTTGCTGAGTTTTAAAATGGAGGAAATACTAAACTGATTTTACTCATTTGAAAGATTTGAGTTAATATGTGTGGATTATTTGAGAACAAACACATTCAGTATTGACTATTGTTTGACTCCAGACAGCTCTCTTATGTCTTTCTATTCACTGATTAAAATGAGGGTCTTGGTTCACTAAGAATGTTTTCCCTGAGCTTTGCTGTAGCTGCACTTCTGAGTTCCTGTTTCTTCTGTGACTTGTCTGTTCTAAGACATATTTATTTTCAGATAGCCAGCTTTTTTTTTTTTTTTTTTGAGGCAAGGTTTTATGTAGTCCAGGCTGTCCTTGAACTTGACATCTTCCTCAACTTTTTTTTTTTTTTGTCATGGGACTTGAACTCTGGGCCTGGGTGCTGTCCCTCAGCTCTTCAGCTCAAGGCAAGCGCTCTACCACTTGAGCTACAGCGCCACTTCCGGGTTTTTTTTGGTGGTTTATTGGAGATAGGTGTTTCATGGTCTTTCTTGCCTGGGCTGGCTTTGAACCGCTGTCCTCAGATCTCAGCCTCCTGAGTAGCTAGGATTACAGGGGTGAACCACCAGTGCCTGGCACTGCCTCAACTTCTTAATGCTAGGATTATAGGCATGTACCACTATGCAGTTACCTTCTAAAACTTCACTTCTGTGAAGTTTTCCCCACACTGCCAGTGTTTCTTAGGGGGCTCTGGTTCTCCTATAGCTTTGCTTTAAGAGACTGTATTGTTGGTGAAAGGCCTGGAATCTGAAGCCAGCAGACAGCTGTGGATTTCCTGACTCCGCTGCTTGCCCTGTAATTTGGGCACGTCAACTAGCATAGCATTGCTGAACTTTTTCCCTTCTCCCCAGCCCTCACCAGTCCTGGGGCTTGAACCAGATTCTTTGTGCTCACGGCTAGCACTCTTGCCACTTGAGCCACAGCACCTTCTAGTTTTTTCTTGAGTAGTTTATTAGAGATGAATCTCATGGACTTCCTACCTGGGCTGGCTTCACACCACAATCCTCAGATCTCAGCCTCCGGAGTAGATAGGATTATAGGCATGAGCCACCAGCAGCCTGGCTGCTGAACTTGGTTTTCTAGTCTATAAAAAGGAAAACTTCTAATACCCACCTCAGGTTGTTATGAAGATTCAGTTGAATGGTTTGTCTTTCAAAGTTCTTTTCTAGCTTGGAAGCTGTTTCCAGTTGAATTCATCCCTTAATTGTTTTTCATTTGTAACAGCCAATACTATATAACTGGTATGTAAGCGTCCTAAAGGACAAATTATTCTCAGTTACAAAAAAAAAAAATAGATTTGGCTGTAAGTGCTGAGAAAAAACAGGATAGGGCTGAGAGTTAGAAGCAGCTATCTTGTGAATAGAGGGTATAAGAGCCTGGTACTTGGAAAGTAGCCAGCATGCTGATAGGTGAGCACTTGCTCTGCTCTCTATCCATTTCCATGTGACTTAGTTTTGAGTTTAATTATGCCAAGTCTTTGAGTGTTTTCCCAGCTTGATGTGGCCTGCAAAGGTTTGCCCTGGGTTGCCATGGGAGGGGCCATGTTCCCTCTAGCATGCACAGTCAGCATACGTGTCCCTACATACCCCTGATGGCATGCCAACTCGCTTTCTAGAGACCAACTTGAGACACACCTGTAAACGTATAATGGACATGGTGGGCAGCCAGCACCCCTGGTTCGGGATGGAGCAGGAATACACTCTCATGGGCACAGATGGACACCCCTTTGGTTGGCCTTCCAACGGCTTCCCTGGGCCCCAAGGTAAGTCTTCCCTGGAGGTATAAAGATTAATTTGGGGTTCTCCCCCACCAAGTACTTAGTAGCTAGGGAAGCCCAAACCCCTTTCTCTAGAGATGGGAGCAATGCCTGAGTGAAAGAGCTGAGATTGGCTAAAAATGACTGAAACCCAGAGATGGATTTAAATGTAAAGAGAGGAGAAAGGATTGAGAGGGGAACCTTTGGCTCCCCCCAAGGCTGTGCAAAGATGTGCGCCTGAATTGTCCCATTCCCTACTTGGTGGTGAAAGCAGGCATAGTGTCAGGAGAGCAAGGGTGAGGGCCTTCTGATTTCTTTTGTCTTGATATCACTCCAGGGCCTTATTATTGCGGTGTGGGAGCTGACAGAGCCTATGGCAGGGATATTGTAGAAGCACATTACCGGGCCTGCTTGTACGCTGGAATCAAGATTACTGGGACAAATGCTGAGGTCATGCCTGCCCAGGTAAGTGGCTCTCGATTGATCTCTTCCTGTCTCACTTCAGGGTGGGTAGATAAATGGGGACTTTGGCTAGCAAGGGCTGCCACTGCCCTACTTATTATTAACCTACAACTTGAATGGGTTGAATGAAGAAAGCAGGTTCAGGAGCTTGGGTTGAGGCAGAGCTGTTGACTTTATTTTTAATGCTCAACCTTACTCTTGCCAGTGGGAATTCCAAATTGGGCCGTGCGAAGGAATCCGCATGGGAGATCATCTCTGGGTGGCCCGTTTCATCTTGCATCGCGTATGTGAAGACTTTGGCGTGATAGCAACCTTTGACCCCAAGCCCATTCCTGGGAACTGGAATGGTGCAGGCTGCCATACCAACTTCAGCACCAAGGCCATGCGGGAGGAGAACGGTTTGAGGTAAATACCTTCTACTGAGCCCGGACAGGGTTATTCATTCGTGGCAGAAAGATTGGGCAGACGGGATCAATCTAGTCAATCTTTCATAGTCTTTGTATTGGAGATTTGTCATCTTCCCATTTGAAAAGTACTGGATAATAATACTCTAGGGGGGGAGGATTAAAGATGGTGATAGGGGAACACTGATAATGGAATCAAACACTTGAAAGTCTTTAATGAAAACTAACAGAAACCAAGAGTGGTGGGGGGGCATGACTCCAGTGGTAAGAGTAACTGCTTAGAACATGCAAGGTCCTGAGTTCAAGCCCCAGTACAGCTAGCTAATCTTTTCTGCTTTACTATACTAGGATTTGAACTCAGGGCCTGGGCCCTATTTCTTAGCTTTTTCGATGAAGGCTAGCACTCTACCACTTGTGCCACAGCTCTCCACTTCTGGCTTTTGGGTGGTTAATTGGAGATAAGAGGCACACAGACTTTTTTTTACCTGAATTGGCTTCCAGCTGTGATCCTCAGATCTCAGCCTCTTGCCTAGGGAGCTAGGATTATAGGTGTGAGACACAAGTGGATATGCTTAATGCTTATGATGGGAAAAAGTCAAGTAGTTCCGATCTTTTTGTTGAACAAATATCAGATGCTGTAGTGATGATCATGGGAGCACCCAAATACCAAGGCAAAGTCACTGCCCGCGAGTATCTATTTGGGCCATATATTTCAGTGAACTTCATTTTTTGATTCCTACCTGCTCCCAACCTTGCAGGCCAGGTCAGGGGTTAATCTTGTATCTCCTGTAGGTTCATTGAGGAGGCCATTGACAGACTGAGCAAGCGTCACCAGTACCACATTCGCGCCTATGATCCCAAGGGGGGGCTGGACAATGCCCGTCGTCTAACTGGCTTCCATGAAACCTCCAACATCAATGATTTTTCGGCTGGTGTGGCCAACCGCAGCGCCAGCATCCGCATTCCCCGGACTGTCGGCCAGGAGAAGAGGGGTTACTTTGAAGATCGTCGCCCTTCTGCCAATTGTGATCCTTACGCAGTGACAGAAGCCATCGTCCGTACATGTCTTCTCAACGAAACTGGCGATGAGCCCTTCCAGTACAAAAACTAAAAGGACCCACCTAGACCTGCAGCCATCTAGCCCCTCCTAGCTCTTCATCCTCTCCTCCTCCTCTTAGTTACCTGATCATCCCCTCTGTAACTGAAGGGTGCAAGATCAAGGTCTTTTTATTCCCTATGCTCAATTAATATTGCTTTCTTTGGTCAAGGTAGAAGGGTCAAGTTTTTAATCTTTTACACCCATCACCCCCCCCCCCCCATTTTTCCTGTCGCTTTCTAATGTGGTAGTGGGGGGAGAGGGGTAGCCACTGCTCCGATCTCATCAGGTATGCTTGTCTAGTAGGCATAGGGGGGATGTGTTTCTGAAGGAGGGGGGAGAGGGGAGGACTTTTCTCTGCAGGGTAGATGACAGGGGAGGGCCTAACTGATCAGGTTAGGATTTCCCCTTGGTAGAAAGCTGCTTCTCAAGGTAAAACCAACTTTGTATTACAAAGGGGAGCTAGGCAAGGAGGGAGGGGCTGGGGTGAGGGGGGAATGCCTCCTTCTGTTGCTAGGGTAAGTCCCTTGCTGGGGGCCACCTGCCCTCCCACGAATACAAAGCTCAGACTAGAAACTGAGGACTGCATCCCTACCCTGAAAGAAGTCCCTCAATTGCATGGCCCTCCATTGGTAACACAAAGCAGAGTAGTATTTTTATATTTAAATGTAAAAACAAAAAAATGTTATATATGCGTGGGTGGACATGTGTGGTTTTTTTCCTGAAGGAGAAAAATCATCCTGGTTACTGGGTGCCAAACTGGAGACTAATAGTTGGGTTTCAAGATGAGGATCTCCTTTGCAATAGGGGTGAGGGATGTAGTTCTGGAGAAGCTGGTTCTTGGGGGGGGCTCTCAGTCCTCCATTAGCACCTACAGTTTTCCCACCTACCCTTCTGCAGGAGATGATAGATACATGCACATTATTCGCCATCATGAGAGCCTGGTGGAGACATGGACTTGTCCACATATGGGTTTAGAAGTATGAGTTGGCTGGTCAACTTGAACACTTACTGACAAGGGGTGGGGGTTGGGGTTACTTTTCTTGTAGGCTAGCATGTCACTAAAGCAGGCCTTTTGGTATATTAAAGATTTTCTAAAGCAAAACAAGTTTAGATTTTAATCAAATTTGTAGGCTTTCTAAGTCTAATTTTGCAGAATTGTCTTCAACTGCCTCCTTCCACTCTGCTCTTCCCAGGAGTCAGGGACAGGACTGGAGTTAAAACACTTGTAAATTTTTTTTTTTTGTATCCTGTGTCTTTTCTCTCAGTGCAAAATATTTCTTTCTTTGTTAAGATTCTTAAGGAGTTATTTTTTTCCTTTTATAATAAACACACTCGATTTCCATCCCTACATACTCTGGTTGTTTTTCTGCTGGCTGCGGCAGCTGGCTGTGGCTTTTCTTTCTCTAGCCATGACGACTTCTAATTGCCATGTACAGTATGTTCAAAGTTAGATAACTCTTCCTTGTAAACACCATGCAACTGCCCAGAGCAGCGCTTATAAATCAACCTAACATTTACAAGCTTCTCTTCTGACTTTCTTCATGGTTTTCTTTTTTAAGGAAACCTAAGTGCCGTTTCATTCCTTCATTTCCTACCCCCCCCCCCCAATTTTTTTTTAATGGAGATGTTTGGTTTAGAGGCAAAATAAGCTCAGACTTAGTGGTTCTGTTTTGTGACAAGTACAACTGATTGCTGCACTCAGAGTTTGGTTTTGACCTACCATGCTTTAATATGGATTCCAACAGTCCTAATCTTGAGTTTTATAACAGGTCAAAATATTTAATGTGGGATTAACTACTTTTACATTCCCTATTCTTCCCAAGTTATTCCTCTACCCAGCTGCCAGTGATTCATCTAAATAGCAAACATGGGCTGTTGCTACCCAGTTGAAGTCTTACCCTTCTAGCCCTGATGTGTCCTAGATATAGGATTGTCCTTGGATATTGCTTGGTCATAGGCTAGTGGACCATGACACTCTCCAAAGCTCCATGGGTTTAAAGAACTAATATGTGATACTATTAGGAGTATTAGCATTATGGATATTGTTGGCATGGTGATTTATTTAAAAGGTGGTGTCCTACCAGTTTGGAGGTAACTGGAGTGTAATAATTTGTAAATATCACAATTTTCCTTAGCCAATTGAGATCTTTCATTCTAGTCTTATGAAATTGAGACATCTACCTTGCAGAGTGTGATTCCTGTCACACCTGTTGCTCCAGCGTGAGACTGCCCTCCTCCACCCGTTCAGCACTTTTCTGGTTTTAATGCTAAAATGAATATACTTTTTCCTTGTTTTTTTTTTTTTTTTGGTCGGCTTGGGCGCTCTTCAGCTGAAAGGGAGCGCTCTACCGCTTGAGCCACAGCACCACTTAACGGTTTTCTAGTGGTTTATTGAAGATAAGAGTCTCAGGGACTTTCCTGCCCGGGGCTGGCTTTGAACCGCAATCCTCAGATCTCAACCTCCTGAGTAGCTAGGATTATAGGTGTGAGCCATAGGCACCCGGCCTAAATAAACTTTTTCTTACTTCAACTGGGTCTTTTTTTTCCCTTCCCCAGTTGAAGTTAGCTTCCCTTTACTCGGTCAGTCCTATAGGTGGACTAAAGAGACAGTTACCTGAGCACTTGGGGGGTTTGTTCATTGTGACTAATTCCTTGACAGGGATAACCCTGAGCAGGATTTGAATTAATAGGACCAAGATTTCAGTGGAAATGAGCAGCCTATTTTTTTTTTCTCCATCTTCACTAGAATTAGTTTCAACCAACAGTTCACAGTGCAATCTTGTATATTTAAGGTACTGGGTTACCTGATAGAAGTTTATCAGTGATAGGTTAATAGAATGAGGAGATAGGCTAAGTAAGAATAGCCACGCCTTTAACCTTAAAGGCACAGGCGAGTATTCACCAAAGATTATACAAGTGGCAGCACAAGCCACCAGGATCCTAAGGAATTCTTGCATGAGTGTGCTCTCAGGCCATTTAAAAAGCCAGAGCTAGCAAGAGGCTGAGATCTGAGGATCTTGACTTGAAACCAGCCCAGGCAGAGGCTCTTACCTCTAATTAGCCAGCAAAAAAGCCAGAAATGGAGGCATACTCAAGTGACTGAAAGCCAGCCTTGAGTGAAAAAAGCCAAGCCGGAGCGAGAAGGCCTGAGTTCAAGCCCCAGTACTGGCACATACCTACACAGAGTAGAGCTAGTACATTAGTGGTTAAGACAGTTTCTTTGAGGGGCTCCAAATAGCCCAAAGCCTAACATAACTCTTGCCACTGCTGGACCTTTCTAATCAGGTGCAAAGTCCAGATAGCCCTTCAAAAGCACTTACCAGTAGCAAATGTCATGAAAATAGGGTTCCTGCTTGGCTTGCTTCTGTGTCCCCAGACCAGTTGCCCTGCAGAACTTGTTTAATGAGTTATTTTTAAGTTATTTGTAAGCTTTAAGCCTACAACCCTATCCTACATCCTTACCCTATGGTGTCAAAGTCCTAGTTTGGCAATTTCATCTCCAGCCACAGTACTAAAGGGGATGTTAGTATTTTTCTGAGCTTAAACAATATGTTGACTTTATTTTTTATTTTTTGCCACAAATACAAGGCAGACCCTTACTCAAGATTTTTCTCAAGAGAGTGGCTTGTGATCTGGGTATGATGTCTGTCACTTCATTAATTGCTAGAGTTGATCTGGCTGGCTAGGTGGGTGTGCCTGGCAAAGCTGTGTGCTTAATCGAAGAGGACAAGAGGACAATGCTCCCCCCCCCCCCCCCTCCGTAGGGGAAGTCCATTTTTTTTCTTTTTTTTTCCTGGTTAATCATGGGGCTTGAACTCTGGGCCTGGGCATTGTCCCTCAGCTCTTCAGTTCAAGACTAGTGTTCTACCACTTGAGCCACAGCACCACTTCCGGTTTTCTGGTGGTTAATTGGAGACAAGAGTCTCACGGACTTTCCTGCCCAAGCTGGCTTTGAACCGCGATCCTCAGACTTCATCCTCCTGAGTAGCTAGGATTACAGGCATGAGTCATCAGAGTCTAGCTGGAAGTCCATTCTTCAGTCAAGGGTATAAGAGCAACGATGCTCCCTGCCTTCAAAATAAATTTACTCTGTTAATTCAAGTCAAAATCAGGCTTCCAAAAGCCACCTGTTGCTTCGGCAGATAACATGTAAAAAGGCAGCTCATTACTTAATTCCAAAAGATTCAGAGAAATGACAACTAAAAGCAAATTAAGCTGATTACAGCCTTGCCTTTTTGTAGCTCAATCACAAACCATAAAAATTTAAATGTATAAAGTATGAAAATTTTGATTTTGCATGATGCAGATGTACATATACATATGTACAATTCAGATACATATAGATATGCCATATTAATAAGAATGTATGTATACATGCATGCACATATGCATTAGGTACACAATATTGTTCTTATGTAGGATTTTTTTTCTTCCTCAAAGTACATCTTACAAAGGACAAAGGACTTGACAGCTCACACTTGTAATCCTAGCTACTCAAGAGGCTGAGATCTGAGAACTGAAGTTCAAAGCCAGCCCAGGCAGGAGGTCTCTGAGGCTCTTATCTCCAATTAACCACCAAAACCTTGGAAATGAAGCTATGGCTTCAAGGTGAACAAAAAAAGCTCAGAGTTCAAGCCCCGGGACTGGGCAAGTAAGTTAATAAGAAGTAAATAAATAAATACAGAAAATTATGAATATATCCCACAGGAAAGAAGAACTTACTGAGCCAAAAAAAAAAAAATCATCTCATTGGGAATGGGCAAGTGAGACAAACTGTAACAATCACTCTTAAAAACCAGGTGCTGTAATATTAACTGTAATAAATCCCACCCCATGCTTTGTGAGTTCTCAGGTTCTGTCTGCTAGTTGGAATAACTACAGGGAGGCCCAGTAATGGAGAGTGGTGGTCTAGTACCGTGTCTTACCTAGGAAGCGTCTGTGCAGTTGCAATGGTCAGTAGATGAACTGCTTTTCAGGGTCCTTGGGCCTCAGCAGGTTACTTGCATTGTGTTGAAATCACAGCTTGTGTCAGCGTGGTCAGCTCCTCCACCACAGGGCAGTCAGCAGATCTGTTGACCAACTCCAGTGGGCACTTGGCCACACTAAATCTAAACTGTGTTGATGTTATTCTGCATTTGCCTAACTCTTCTCATGTAACTATCATTCTGCTTTGTTGACATATTGAAGAGACCTTCAAGATAGCCTCCAAAGAATTAATAAATTATTAGGAATCAAATAGGCAGGCACTATTTTGATTTTTGGTAAGAACAAAACATGTGAATGAGAAGGCCAAGTGAAGAGAAATTCCTTTCTTCGGGGCTGGGAAAGTGGCTCAGTGGTAGAGTGCTTGCCTAGCATGCATGAAGCCCTGGGTTCGATTCCTCAGTACCACATAAACAGAAAAAAGCTGGAAGTGGCGCCTTGGCTCAAGCAGTAGAGTGCTAGCCTTGAGCACAAAGAGACTTAGGGATGGTTCCCAGGCCCTGAGTGCAAAGCCCCAGGGCTGGCAAAAAAAAAATCCTCTCTTCCTCTTTCCCACGTGCCGCAGTCCTCACACCACTCAAAGGTGTCATGGTCATTACCAACTAGTATGGAACTTGTGGGATTCACTAGGTGTAACAGCTTATCTGCAAATGGTTTTATGAGATGATATCAGTACAGGATTACATTGACGAAGGAGGAAGAAGTACATTGGAGGGAGATAGAGCTGGGTGGGCAATACATGAACACTTCTGGGAAGAGACCTGTGGTCTCATTAGGAGCTAAGTTTAGAGAGAGAATTCAGTACAATCCACTCTTCAGAGGTTCCTCTGGGAGAGGGGATTTGTTTCCTCCTCAAACATGCTACTACCAGGCTCCTCCTGGGAGGAGTGTAGGATTCAGAAACAGGCAGGCTGTTAACATTTTAACATCACCATATTGCTGGCTTAGCACTTAGTCAAACAAATCCTCAATAAGTGTTCAATTTAAACAATCAGAGATCACCACTAATATCCCTGGGCATAGACACAAGGCAGAGTGGGGAGGAGGAAGGGTCAAAGACGTAATTCAAAAGTATTCATCTTAGGGGTTAATTACTTGTGAATGAATTGCTCAACTCCCCTAGTTAATCCCAAATCACCTGTTTCAAGAAACCTATTCCTCTCCCTGATCCCAAACACAGGGACTTGGGGAGAATCACCCCAGTTGCTAGCCTTCCAGGTGCCCCCCTTCTCTTGGAAGGGGACAGTTGAGAATGTACTTAGACTATCTGTGGCATCAAATGATTAACTGATAGTTTCTCTATGATATCAGCCTGAGATAAGCTAGGACTTGTCACCAAATTCCTTCCAGATTGAGAATTCTGTG